GCGAAATTCAACACTTCCAATGTAATGCAACGAATTCAAGAAAACTTGTTACTTGATAAATATATCACACTCGCCTTGATGGAGACAGTCTCTCATGTGAGTAGGGATGCGAAAGGGGATATAAATCAAGCTTTAAGCATCCTATCCAAAGAATGCGGTCACGACAAACACATTTAAAATGGCGTATCAGACTCGAACACTCAAGAGTAGCACATCCGAGCTGCAATTCTTGATAGCAACAGAACATGCATAGGTAAAAAACGCCAGCTAATATATTACTTAAAGTTCCCATGCTGTATGTTACCATTATAAAAAGAACAAGGACTGTTGAAAAAGAAGCAGGTCTGGAAAAATGAAAAGTCCCTCTATTTTAATTGCACTCACTTCCCTTCCTGCCCAAAATCTTCAATGTCTCAGGACACACTCACAACTAAACAGCACATTAAACAACAAAATGAAGGACGAAATAAAACTCTAAGCTGAATACTCAACTGGAAACTAAGTTTACTGGGAGACACCGAGCCATTTTGAGAAGTTCTCAAACTCTGTGTAGTCACTATCCGAGATCATCGTCTGGTACCATGCCTTCCCTGCCGACTTGATCGCAGCTGCCTCCTCCTATCAAGCACAAGAGAAATTAATAGAGCAAATCAAAAGGCTTAGATATAATAGCACAGTCGAAGCATTTCTACTACAGTAAAACAAGAGGGAAACAGCATGCTGCAAACAATGGTCTGAGATCATAAATGATGTGTTTCCCCAATAAATATCTCGAGATGTGAGCATAACAGAAGAATTTGAATGCCTACAAACTTGCAAGGCATCTCCAATAGAAAAGGGCAGGATATGGAGGCAGATTATTTAATCCTCTAATATATTTATTGCAGAGACATAGATGCCAACATCAAGGTTATTGACAACTCTCGACTGTTGGTTGTTTTTAAACAAGAGGCTCATACAGAAATTAAATTAACTGAACACAACTGATATATGAATGTGATCATTCCATCACTAGCTACATCAATAGGGATATGCCCCACACATGGCTCACTCTTTTCACCATAGCAAGTCCCATGCATAGTCAGTACTATAGCCCCAACTGTAGCTATTAATAAGTATCATAATGAAATCTCTTAGCACAATGAATCCTGCAGGATGGAAAGTAATGTAACCATTTGTAGAGTTGCATAACTCCCATATACTATCAGAGAACATGCAAGAATCACCAGCAAGAAAAGAAAAATAACATTTTTTCTTTCTATCAGATGCATTGTGAGTTTGATGACATGGGTCCATTTGCCCATCAAGTCTATCGTCTTCCAAATCTGAGAATATAAGTAACAGACAAAACCAGAATCGTATTTTTGATGTGGGCATGTATTGGGCGTCAGAGGAACTCCTTAGAAAAAGCGAGTACTTATCCCAACCTTACAAGGTCTACAAATATACGTAGAAACATTATGAGCATTACCGCTCGGCTACAGCATCCTCAAAAAGCATCAAAGTCCAGATATCAATCCTCACAGCAGAAGAGATATGTAATCGAAGACAAGCAAGTGAAGGACGTACCTTGGTGATGGGCTTCCTCTTCTTGTCAAGCTTCTCCTTCTTAGCCTTCACACGCTGCTCCTCGGCCAACAGAGCCATCCTCCTCGCCGTCTTTGCGTACGGGTTCAACCTCAACATGGTGTTCAGATTCTTCAATGGGTTCTTCTTCAGAGTCGCCCTCTTCACGTCCTTCTTGATCGGCCTCACCACGGACTGAACCTCATCCGAGTTGATGATCCTCGACAGATCAGCATTCACCATCTTGGACCTCGGCAGCAGGTAACCCTTCTTCTTCTGGGAAGGCTTCTCGAACGACCCGAAGATCGAATCCAGCTTCTCGAAAGCCGACTTGGTCCAGATAACGAACCTGCCCAGGTGGCCGCCGGGGGCGAGCTTCAGCAGATTGAGCCTATCGACATTGGCGACCTCCACACCGGGGATGTTGCGGAAAGCCTTCTCGATCTTCGCTCCCTCGGTGCCGTACACGATCAGAGGTCCCTTCCTGTTGATGTAGCGCCGGTTGCGCATCTTACCCTTGCCGGGCCTGATCCCGTGGCTGTCCTTGGCCTTCTCAGCATCCGCGTACGCCCCAATCTGCTTCAGGATCTTGATCGCGGCCGGAGTTTTCTCCAAGCCCTCAGCGGAGTCGCCGATCACGAGGGGCATCTCTGGAACGGACTCGATCCTGTGGCCACGGGCCATCACGAGGGCGGGGATCGCGGTGGCGGCGATGGCGGAGGCGACTGCATAGCGCTTCTGGTTGACGTTGACCCGGCGGTGCCAGCGGCGCCAGATCTTGGTCGGGGCGAACATGCGACCACCACGGCACATGTTGCCGAAGGCACCCTGGCCGGCGCGGTGGGTGCCGCCGCCGGGGACGCGGGGGATACGGGAGACGGCGCGGCCGGTCCCCCAGGACTCGGCCGAGGTCTGGTGGCCGGCGCGCTTGGAGACGGCGTAGGGCTGACGGGAGTTCTTGGAGATGTTGGAGTGGACAAAGGAGACGATGTCGGGGCGGATGGAAGCCCTCATGACGTCGGGGAGGGGGACGGTGACGGCGGAGTCGGTGGCCATGTCGCCGTCCAGGGATTGGATGGTGACGAGGGGGCGTGAGGCGGCGGCCATTTCGGGTGGCGGAGGGAGGGGCAGCGGCAGCGGCAGCACCGGGGAGCTGAGAAATGAAGTGAAGACGGGAGCGAACTAGGGTTTTGTAATGCATATATACGGAAGGGATGAGGTCGGAATTACGGTCGTGCCACTGAGGGTTTGGATCGAGTGAGGGTCTTCATGGGCCTGACGGTGGGCTACGTTTCAGAGCCTTTCAAAATGGTCGGCCCATGGTTCCCGGCCCATCATCGTCGGTCGTAAATTCAGTCCATTTTATGTCGTAGTCCTACCCAATGTGGCTGTAAATTGCATGCATTTTGTATTGTCTAGCTGAGCTAGAGTGGAAATTGGGTTTAGAGTTTCTTGGTGATTGAGCGTAGCAAAAGGGTTAGCAGCATTTTGGAGAAGAAAGTCAAGGTTTAATTATTAAAAAAAAAATCACGTGGATTCATTGAATTTTCCTAAAAATGAAACATCACGCGTCTTTTATCGGGATAAAATTAATCACTGGACCGTTTATACTTATTCGAAGGAACCAAGTGAATACAAATTAATAAAACAGTTGAATCTTATATTAATTTCGTCGATACAGTAACTTGTTTTAAAAAAATATCTCACATATTGTTCGCTAAGTGCATTCCACACGCATTATTGAGGACTTCCTATGCAATGTTCCAGTTTTGCTTACTTTTTGACTCAAAGGCGACTTTTTAATCTTTCATCTTCATCTTCGTTCCTCCTCTCTTCCCTTTCTCGATCTTCTCTCTGCTCAAAGCTTCACTGCAGGCCATGGTTTCACTCTGCAGTCTCCCCTCTTTTTTTCTTTCTTTTTCCTTCGTTTTTCTATTGCATTTCTCAAACTTCATTGACGCTCAAGCTCAAGATTATGATTATCCAACCGCTACGCTTTCAACACGGTGGACGAATATTGCAACAACTAGTCACTTCACCCGCTATGGAGATGGATCGATCGTGCAGGCAATTCTACTCCGAGGCAAAAAAGCTTTTGGCCCTGCCTATGCCTGCGGCTTCTACTGTAATGGTAACTGCAACGCTTACCTCTTTGCTGTTTTCATCGTCCTAGTTAACAGTAGTGCCTTAATTGTTGAGCCCGATATTATATATCCACAAGTAGTGTGGTCTGCCAATCGAAACAATCTCGTAAAGATCGGTGCGACGTTAGAGCTCATGTCCGAGGCGATTTGATGTTGAAAGATGCTGATGGTACGGTTTCTTGGTCCACAAACACTTTTGGTAAATCCGTTGTAGGCTTGAACTTGACAGATTTGGGAACCTCGTGTTGTTTGATAAGGATAATGCGATTGTTTGGCAGTCTTTTGATGAGCCAACCGATTCACTTGTCCCCGGACAAAAGTTGAGGGAGGGACAAAGATTGATGCTGAGTATTTCCAAGACAAATTGGACCATTGACGGTATGATTACGCTTTCTGTGAATGGCTATGTTTTATCTGCTCAAGTGGAGACTAATCCTCCTCAGGTCTATGTCCAGTTTTCTGCTGAAACTCGGAGTGAAAGGATCGAGAATCCATATGTTGAGTTTTTAAATGGAAGCTTGACTTGGTTCTTAGATTCTACCTCGAATGAGAGTTTGATTCCAGTCCCTCAAGCATCTTCTGCACAATACATGAAGCTGGGCTCGGATGGGCATTTGAGAGTGTATGAGTTTGATTGGGAATTATATGGGTGGAAAGAAGTGGCCGATCTTTTCACGGGGTCTATCGGGGAGTGTGGCTATTCGACAATGTGTGGGCAATATGGAATTTGCTCCAATGGGCTATGTAAGTGTTCGGCTTCGAGTGGGGGGACGAGCTATTTCCAGCAAGTAGATGATAGGCTGCCTGATCTTGGATGTTCTGAGAATGTTCCATTGTCTTGTGGAGCTTCACAATATCAAAGTCTTCTGGAGCTCAAATATGTCACGTATTTCACATTCACTTCAGATCTCATTGACATAGATGCTTCAAGTTGTAAAGAGGCCTGCGCAAACAACTGTTCATGCAAAGCAGCTATATTCTAGTACGCATGGGAACGGGATTCCACTAGCGGCAATTGTTACTTACCAACTTAGGTGTTTTCACTTATGAATGTTGACAGGACAAAGTCTCTCTATAATTCTACTGCTTACCTTAAAGTACAGAATGCGACCACTAAAGCTCCTACTACTTCGGTTGACAATCGAAGGAGCAACCGTCTCTCTGTAATACTTGGTTCCAGCCTTGGAGCTCTCTTTGCCATGATGATTTTCATCATAGTCATAGTTTTGTTTGTGCATTAAGAGAGATGCTAATCAAGCAAAGGAGGATTATCTTGATCAAGTACCTGGAATGCCCACTGGATTCATGTACGATGATCTAAGAGCCATCACAGACGAATTCAGTAAAAAGCTTGAAGAAGGTGGTTTTGGTTCTGTTTTTGAAGGTACTCCAGGTGATGGCACAAAAGTTGCAGTAAAACGCCTTGATGGTTTTGGGCAAATTAAGAAATCCTTTCTAGCCGAAGTTGAGACTATCGGCAACATCCATCACGTGAACTTGGTAAGACTCATGGGATTTTGCGCTGAGAAATCTCACAGGCTCCTTATCTATGAGTACATGTCGAATGGGTCTCTAGATAGATGGATCTTTCACAAATCCAGTGAATGTATTCTCGACTGGCAACAAAGGAAGAAGATCATTCACGACATAGTAAAAGGACTAAATTATCTTCATGAAGATTGCAGACAGAAGATAGTTCACTTAGACATTAAACCCCAAAATATCCTCTTGGATGGGAATTTCAATGCTAAGATTGTTGATTTTGGATTATCCAAATTGATAGACAGGGACCAAAGCCAAGTCGTCACAACCATGAGAGGAACTCCTGGTTATTTGGCCCCCGAGTGGCTGAGTGCAGCAATTACTGAAAAAGTTGACGTGTATAGCTTTGGCGTGGTAATCTTGGAGATAGTGTGTGGGAGAAAAATCTTCAATCGCTACTCTAGATCAAGAAGACATGTATTTATTGAGCCTTTTTAAGAGAAAGGCAGAAGAGGAATGATTGCTGGACATTGTGGATAAATCTAGTGATGACATGCAATTAAATGGACTGCAGGCGATGAATATGACGAGGATTGTTGCATGGTGCTTGCAAGGAGATTATACGAAGAGGCCTTCCATGTCAACGGTCATCAAGGTGTTAGAGGGCGTCATGGAAGTTTGAGAAGAGCTGGATTACAACTTCTCTGCACAGCCTTCCACTGGTGGAGCATCGAGAATCGGTGGGATGGACGTTGAATTTAATGCTACCACTACATTGCTACCCTCAATCGTAAGCGGTCCACGATGATGCGGCAAACTAATGAGAACTTTTCTTCCCAATAAGCGGTAGAATGTGCGGGCAATTGAATTTCTCACACTGTGAGGACTTTGGCTTGTCATCCTCTTTTTCAGGCCAGCAAAAAGCCTGTGGCATGATATCAATTCTCTTTTTCGCTTTGCAAATGAGTGGACTTTGCCATAAGTTAGCAAATGATTGACTTGGTAAGGATATTGCGTTGGGGTTATATATTGCTTATGCATAAACCAGTCGTGCTCAAGTTTCTTGTGTCTAGGAAAAGAGGGAACCTGTTGATTCATTTGCACAAAAAGCTGCTAAGACTGGATCCATATCTGATTTGCTTTTTGGTTCCAACACTTGATATTCTTCGGATTCGATGAATCTACCTTCCATTCTTCCTCATTTTGAGGTTCACGGGCTTTTTTAAGTCCGTTTTGCGAATACACGGTTGCAACCGATAGATAGCGGGACAAGTTCAACCGTGGTAAGTTCGGATTTTTCCTAGTGACTTCTAAAATATCCTAGATTAATAATCTTGACTTCTAGCTTCTTAACGGTCTGTCGTGGCGGTTCCAAGGCCTATGTTTGCCAAAAATAAAGAATCAAGATGTTTGGGCATTCAAGATTCAATTTTGTAATCTTTTGATAACAATTATCATTCTCCATAACCTGAGCATTTCCACGTCTTTAATTAACACGATCCAAGAATGGAGGTTGCATGTGACAACAACCGAGCGGGAATGACGGAGGACGGAGGTGGACAATAGTGGTGGCAACGGGGCATAAAAGAATGAGGGAAAAATGGACAAAAAAATAAATAAGGGATAAATGCATTGGAATTCTTAAAACTTGTCAATAAAGTGCAATTGAGTCCTAAAACTTTCAAAATGTGCAATCATATGATTGGACCAATTGCACTTTCAGGATAAGTTTTAGAACTTTCAATGTACTTATTCCCAAAAAATAAAATAAAAGAAAGACGGAACAACAACAAAAAAAAGAAAAAAAGAGGAAGAAGAAATCCAGACCACACAATTCCATTATCTTGATGATAATTGAAAATGTCACTCTACTCCCTGAATTGAAAAGCGGGTCTCAATTTCAAAATATCATAATAAAACCCAACACTACTCGATAGGCTAACTTGAATCGAATCCGATTGACAATGGACAGATCTGCGAAGCCTCGACGAAGGTCACGGGGACCGGTCGCGATCTTGATGCATCATCCTCTCGAAGGGGCAATAATTGAAAATGTCACTCCACTCCCTGAATTGAGAAGCGGGTCTCAATTTCAAAATATCATAATAAATCCCAACACCACTCGATAGGCTAACTAGAATAGAATCCGATTGACAACGGACAGATCTGCGAAGCCTCGACGAAGGTCAAGGGGGCTGCCCGCAAACGATTGCGACCCCAAGCATGTGGTCCGACCGAATCCTCCATGGTCATTTTTGCAGCATCCTTGGAGCACTCCAATTGGCTTGGGGAAGAAACACTGATCTGTTCACCGTCCAAGCACCACAGTGCCGCGCACAGTGCACGGCCCTATCTCGTGTCCCCCGGACCACCCATCCATCCATCCCCACCACTCCTTGGGCTCGTCCAGTGAGACGACACCGCCGTGTCCTTGTCGTGGAGGACAGGCATGGGGCCGTGACTTCGAGGAGAAAACAAGAAGACCGAGAGACAGGAGTGTGGACTGGGGCAAACCCTAAGCACCACGTAAGAAACCGAGGGATCGGAGACGATGGCATTCTGTCATGTAAAGTTTGGTGCGTCGGGATTCCGGTAAAGATACACGCACTACTTGTCTCGGTGTCGGTTTTTGGACTGGGGCTCTGTTCGTTTAGCCGGAAATGAATGATTCGGTAAATATTTTTCTTGAAAAATGATCGTTTATTTTTCGTGGATATTGAAAATAATTTACGTCTATTCGTTTTTGTAAACGATACAAGCGATCGGTCTTGAAAAATATCTTTCAAATTTTTTTTTTTTTTTGCAAAACGGCCGGAGCCTATCAAATATGACAAATTCTCTTGACTGGTGGGATCAACATAGGAGGACAGTTCAATTTTGTGCCTCCAACGTGCACGTGCGGGGGGGCCTTATTATGTGTCCTTCTGTAACCAAGCCTGTCGCCGTCCCATTCCCTCTGTTTTCTCTCTGTTTTTCAGTCACACGCGTGCAAGAGTAATGTTAGATACATGAAGATTGATTTACCTGAAATTAATACTATGGTGTGATGAATTGCAAGTGTGCATTCTCGGTTGGTCAGTGTTATTCATAATGTGTGTCTACGTACAATCCGACACATCATTTCATTCTTATCGATTTGGTATGTCAGTCTACGATTGTATACCATACTGAATGAATCGATAATGTTCGCAATTGCCAAGTTCCATCAATGACATGGAAGGAGGCCTCAGAGAGCAATTCTATGGAGAAAGTGTTTCACGTGTCGATTATAGATATAATAGTAGCCAAGTACAATGAACGTGTGATGTACGTGCATCTTAATCAACTCTTTACATTCGGGTCGATGAATTCTCGACTTGACAATTTACTTTTTTGTATACGTCATAGTCGACATCATTGCTTTCGCTGAATGAATTGTCGGACGCGTGGGGTTTGCTGGTTCTCCCTTTTCCTCCATCGTTCCATACAAACCCGAAAATGTTGAGGTTCAAAGTTTCCAACTCAGAGTAAAAGCTTCAATCTTTCACCAAATTTGGGTGTGTGTGTGTTGTGTGTATAATGGGCATCACCTTAAATCAATTGTCATGTCCTCCTAAAAGTCTCCACCTACCCTGCACCCACAACATTGGCATATGCTTTGTCTCTGTAGCAGTTCACGTTTCTGTCGGACACTAAGAAAATCATCAGCCATGCTTGATGTGTTACAAGGGATAGAAGAACTCATCCTGAAAAGCTAAACTTGTCGGGAGAGGAAACCCTACTCATTCTCTCCCTCTTTTCAAGATTCCACGACCTTGCAGAACAACCACGAGGGGCAGGTGGGCATTCAAAAAGTGGCTCTGATACCATGTAGATGCGTTACAAATGATGGAAGAACTTATCCCGAAAAGCTAACTTGCGAGAAGAGAGAACCCAATTCATTATAAACCTCAGAATATCTCCTTAGTTGCCCGACGTGGGACTTTTACTCGCATCAGAGGCCTCGTCAAGAAGAGTAGGATCTTTGGTTCTACTGTCAAGTTCTTCAAGAGAAACAGGAGACAGAAGAAGAAGAAGAAGAGACGTGTTCAATACTCTTATGTGGAAAATGCAATACACATTTGCCTTGTGTCAATTATCGATGAAAGGTCCCATTCAACAAAGAATAATTTAGAAGCGAACGCCACGTTGCACGCTCGAAATTCACGTAAGTCAATCCATTTCTAGACTAATTAACCTTGCTTGTAAGAATATGGAATGCACGAATACGACAATAATATCTTGTCTACAGCAATCAACTCATGGAATTGCCGAAAACAACAATAATTATGTCTCCGGAAATAAAGTACAATTATATGCGTCGAACGTGCACGTACCGTCTTATCCTGCTCCCTTACAATACGGAGCGTGGGGCAGTCCCATTTCCCCTGTTTTCTCTCTGTTTTCCCCCCATCACCCTCTATGTAAAATTTAATAAAAAGCTCCGTTTGTTTCAGAAAAATTAATGAGTTGAAAAATATTTTCTAAAAAATGGTGACTTATATACTTGAAATAATTAGCTAATAAAAAAATATTTTCATTATAGACAGCAATTTATGTCTCAATATTTCGGGAATGATGAATTTTTTTTGTTCGTTCATTCTTTTGAGCGATATAAACGATTATTTTTAGGAAAATATTTTTCAAATCATTCATTTTTTGCTAATCAAACGGAGCCTAAGTGGATATTTCCATTGGTTGGTGATGTTCGGAATGTGTATCTACTCGGAATTCGACACATTGCTTTATGTAATGATTTGGTAAATCAAGCTACGATTTATAATGAACACTAAGTCAAATAAAAATGTTCACAATCACCAAGTTTCATTAATGACGTGGAAGGAGACATAAAAGGGCAATACTTTGGAGAAATTTTTTTCATGTGTCAAATGTAGGTGTAATGATAGCCGATTACAATAAACATGTTACATATGGGAAAATGCCATCACAAGTACCATAATTTTGTACGGCGCTCATTTGAATACTGCAACTTCTCAATCGATCACTTGATTGCCATCATTTTCGTACGGTATTCAATTTTTTTGGGTCAAAATACGGCATTCAATTGAATACCATAACTTTTTAATAGATCACTTGAGTGCCATAATTTTTAAAAAAAAGTTCACAACAAGTGTTGAAAATCCTACATGCCATGGCCTTCTTGATGAGCTTTCTTTTAAAAGTTATGCCACTCAAGTAAACGTTTGATTGAAAAGTGATGGCACTCAAATAAGCACCGTATGAAAATTATAATATTTGTGATGTCCTAATCCTTATATATTTCGATTAACGATTTACGACCACGTCAATAGTATTCACCCCATGTAAACTTTACTTTTATATGTCACTGTCAATATCCATGCTGAATAACTTTGTCGAACATGTGGGGTTTCCTGTTTCATCCTTTTCCTTCCTTTCCACATAAACACCGCAAAAGTTATGAATTGAGAAGTTTCCACCTCAAAGGGAAAGCTTCAATC